AGATAGGGATTGAATCAGATGTTGATTGGTAGGGGATAGAGTTCCAAAAGAGAAAATATTAGGAGTAGCAGGCAGAGTGAAGCAAGAATCAGTGAGATCAGTGAGAATAATAGCATTGCACACATAGTCCTTCAAATTTGTAGGCCTTTGAGAAACTTTGTCAGACTTTCTGATAGGTGGAGGAGGTGTGGGAATCACATTTCTGGATGTTGTGTGAAGAGGTGAGTAGGAAGGAGTGTAAGACTCACCTGGGATTGGTGTAAGGTCAGCTGCAACATAGGGTGAAAGATGTGTAACTCTAAGTGCAACAGGACTAGAACCAGATGTCTTAAGAGTTGTTGAATGAGTGTCTGAGAGAGGTGAATTGGTGAGGAAACAAGTTGTAGCTGGTGTAGAGGAGATTCATCCCTAGGAACTGGAGAGGAGGTATTGGTAGTTGGCATATCTGGTGCAAAAGTATGACTAGTGGGATTAGAACAAGATGGAAAATAGGTGGATGAGTATGTTGAGTGAAAAGGAAAGAATTCTTCATGAAATTTGATGTCCCTGGATACAAATACCCTTTTTGTATCTATGTCCAGTACTTTGTATTCCTTTTGACCTTGTGCATATCCTAAGAATACACAAGACTTAGCTCTACGTTCAAAGTTTCCTCTACTCTGAGATAAAGTTGACACATAGCACAAACATCCAAAACTTCTTAGAACCTCATATGTAGGTTCTTTCCTAAATAGAACAGTAGATGGTGTTTTCCCTTTCAACACCTTTGAAGGGAACCTATTTATCAAAAATGTTGCAGTTAAAACACATTCTCCCCAATATTGAAGAGGAGCCTTGGATTGGAATAGTAATCCTCTAGCAATTTCCAGAAGATGTCTATGTTTTCTCTCAACTGCACCATTCTGTTGAGGTGTAGCTACACAAGAGGTTTCGTGAAGGATCCCTTGTTCTTGAAAAAATATGTATTCTTGTGTTTCCTTTCCAATTCCCAAGCATTGTCTGATCTCACCCTCTTTACTTTCTTGTTAAACTGTCTTTCAACCATAAAAAGAAAAGACTTTAAAATTGGAAAAGTATTGCTTTTGGTACTTAATAAGAAAGTCCAGGTTGCCCTACTAAAATCATCAACTATGACAAAAAATTAGTTGTACCCATTGTATGTAGTAGTTCTAAGAGGACCCCAAGTATCTATGTGAATGAGGTTATATGGAGATGTTGTCCTGACTTGGCTAATGGAAAAAGGGAGCCTAGTTTGCCTTGCCTTAGCACATATGCCACACACATTATTAAAATCTGAAGAAAAATGAACAAAACTAAATTTCTTCATTACTGAAAAAGGCAAATGCCCCAACCTTACATGCCATCGAGTTACAACTGAAAGTGCATTAGCAAAAACTAGAACTGGAAAGGAAACTTTACTAGGTACTAGACTGGAATCACTTTCTTTTGGAATGAAAATTACATCTTGACTAAATAGAGTTCTAGACTCTGAAGTTCTCGGTTGGAGTAGATATAATCCATCTCTTACTTTACCAAAAACTTGTCCCCTCCTCATTAAAGGGACCTGCAATAGACATTCACTAGAAGTAAGGTTGATGATGCATTTGAATTGAGTGCATAATTTATGAACAGATAACAAGTTATACTTAAAAGATGGAACATAAAGAACTCTTTCTAGAATCATATCAGGCTGAATGCAAACCTGCCCTATGTGTGTGACAAACAGCTGAAAAGAATTAGGCAAACTTATATGTAAAGGCACAGGTAAGGGTGATAAAGTTAGGAAAGATTTGGAATCAAAACACATATGTTCTGAGGCACCTGAATCAATTATCCAGGTTTTAGTATTAAAAATATCAAGACATGTTCCTGAATATTTGAGAATAGTACCAGTAATAACATTGGCACTAATTTCTGAACTTGCATTTCCTGTACTCCCAACCTGCACCTGCCTGATTATGTTTACCAGTTCAGAGACCTGTTCTTTACTGAAAAATTATGTCTGATTATTTGGGTTTCCTTCATTGTTTTCACCAGACTTTCTATCACCCTGCCGATCTGATACTATACCATTTGATTTTATTGTTGCTCCTTGAAAATTTCCACCCTTGGTAAATTGAAATTCATCAGGAAATCCTATAAGTCTGTAGCAATCAGCCCTTACATGTCCTATCTTTGAGCAATGGCTGCAAGTAACATTGGGATTAAACTTAGACTTCTTTGTCTTGGACTTATATTGTGTGTTTCCTGATTTTTGCTATGAACTCCACCCCTTTTGCACTGGGTTATTTTTCTGTGAGAATTTATTCTGTGATCCTACCATAAAGGAAGCCCCATTAGTAGGATATTGTGGGCTCATATAGATCTCCCTTTGGCTCTCATCTTGTAGTGAGAGTGAGTAAGTTTGATCCATGCCAGGAATAGGACTGAGCATGAGAATGTTTCCCCTTGCTTGTGCATAAGCATCATTCAGTCCCATTAAGAATTGAATGACCCTTTGGTCTTTCATGAACTTAGCCATCTTCTTCTTACCATCACAATTACATGCAAAAGTGCACCCTAAGTGTGAGTTAAATGAGTCCAGCTCATCCAATAGCCTCTTAAGAGTAGTGAAATAACCTGATATGTTGTTGTTTCCCTGAATTATTTTTAAAATTTTCTTATGCAGATGGTATAGCTTTGCTCCACTTGACTGCCCAAACCTGTGTTCCAGGCTGCTCCAAAGATCCTTAGCAGTTCTTGAGTAAATGACACTGTCACCTATTTCTTTGGTCAAAGAGTTGAGCAACCAAAAGGTGATCATGTCATTGCACCTACTCCACAATGGATAATCTTTGTCATCCATTGTTGGTTCAACATAAGATCTATTGATAAAGACAAGTTTGTTCTTGGCTGAGATTGCAATGAGGACAGATCTCTTCCATCCTGGGAATCCTCTTCCATCGAATGGTGAGCTTACCAGACCCATTCCTAGAGTATCAGAAGAGTGCAAGTGATAGGGGTGATTGGAGTCATTGGCCACTCTACTGCTTGTGGATCCAGAGACAGAGATAACAGTTGCAGCTTCTGTACAAATCATGATTGAATCCACATATGGATAAGGAAGAAGAAATTTGATAGAAACTTGAGATAATTTGTGAATGGATCGAGCTAAATCTGCTCTGATACAATGAAAGAAAAGACTGAGATTGTGAAATTTCTTCTGTGTAATTCTTTATTCACTGCATCTTGATTATATACAAATCTATGTATAGATACAAAAGAATGTAAATAAAATATTCTATACACTTGTACTATTTCCTATTAGCTAATTGTCTAACTAACTAACATAAATATTCTTTACAATGTGTGTGTGTGTGTATGTGCTATTCACGTGTGGAAAATTCTAGTCTCATTCCTCATCTGAAATGAGAACCATTAAATGAATGGTTATGATTTAGTCTTCTCTTAACAAATCAACGTCCCATATGAAGTTAGAATTTTAGCATCAAAGATTATGATTTTGACACGTGTCACTCCTTAAAATAAGATTAGTGTCTCAGCAAAATTTCTTCAGGCATAAGCTCAAATGTTTCCTTGGAGACTCCGAAATCTTCTTGTCACTTCTTATTCTCTCTTTCTTCTTCATTATTCTTTTAATCAACATGGGGTTCTGATCTTCAACATTTTGTCCGTTGAGCTTCTTCAAGATTTTCATTTTATTATATTTTAGGATGAACTGGCAGTTCTATCTCCGTTCTTTATGTCAGACAACTAGTCCTTTAATAATTCAAAAAGTAGGATTTGATATGGATTTAACCCTTCGACAATAGTAGAAAAGTGGTATATTAATCCTTATAATCAATAGTGCAAGGGGCAATCCGGTATACAAGGTATCCCGCTTTCATGCAAGGTTCGAAGAAGAGTCGCACCCCAAGGAATTAAACTTATATTATATATGTTGACAATGTTTAACATGTTAGGGGTTGTTTGGAGGGTGCATAAAAATAGTACTAAATAGGGTGTATTGATGATGCTGAGATTAGTTATGCTGAGATTATTTTTTATCGACTGTTTGGTTTGGTTTATTAAAGAGTTTGAAAGGGCAATTCTGTATGTATACATGCTTATCCATGAATTAAGCAAACTCTTCACCATTTCAAAAATCTATGTCACGCCATTTGTGTAACCAAGGGGGGCTAGAACACCGGTTATGTGTTCGACCGAGCCCAATAGCTTTAATCAAACTTTATGTTTATCTTAAGAAATTATTGAATATGTACAAATTATTAATTTAGAAAATAATAACTTAAACAAAGTAGAATATCGAACTCATAAACTTCAAATTCTAATTCCGCATCAACGTGTAACAATTACAAAATGCTGAAATAATCTTGGCATTCTTCAGATTTTACAGGGAACTTTTGAATTTTTGTGGTGGCAATGAAAACGAAAACGGCGACGAGTAATTAGATGACGATGCAACATTTCGATGAATTATTGAAGCAAATAATGAATTTTATAAAAATAATGGAAATGAAATTGAATAGAGATGATGAATTTTCTAACTATGGTTAGAGGATTTGGTGGAAATTTACGGTGAAGAAGAAAGAGGGTGGGTGGTGAAGGAGATGGTAAATAGGATTTTCTAACGATTTTATTTTTCTTTTTAAATTAAATGTCCTTTTCTTTTTCTTTTTTTTTTTACAAAAATTGTACGTGTCAATTTTTTATTTATCACTTTTTTATGTCATATGCAATTGTAACTCACGCTCTAAGCTTACCATACGGATATCCACGAGACACATCCAATGCCAAGTTGAAATGCCTACTTGATTATTGACTAAGTTGGAGTATGAGATAAACGTCAGATAGCAACTTTAAGTGTCTCTTTATGTATTTTGTCAATAATTTAATTTTAAACTTACGATTTTATATTTAATAAAAAATTTATAATGACAGAAATATTTTAGACCATAAGTTTTACATTTTTTTTAAATAATGGTGCATTTCAGGAAAGCGCTCACTGACATGGAGTATACAAAATGAAAAACGCCTCTGTTTTTTCCAAGCATAGGTGTACACCAGCGGTCATCTTTCTCTACATTTATTTTTCTGACTAGCGACAAGTCTTTGATCACTTTTGAATATAGACAGTGAAAAGAGCTCTCCCCGTCAAGACCAGCAATTTTCAGCTATGGGGTAACCCTAAAAAGTTAACTGGGGTAAGTTATTTTTTATCTTTTCTTATTTTAATAAGTGCGTATTAGTTTTACACTAAACGTTGTACTTATGTATGTTGATTCAAGATTGTAATTTTTTGCTGAACTTCACAGTGAAGCTACGGTTTTCTTGACCTTTCATGAAATGAAATTATTTTTTAGTGTGTAATGTTATCAGCCTTTATAGTTCAACGGCTCTTTCATTTTAGCCAAATGCGTTAGTTTTATAGATGTTTTCTTGCTGTTTCACCCTGTAAAGTCGTTTGGTACGTGGGATAAGAATAATAATTCGGGATTAAGTTTGGTATTAACTTTATTCTATGTTTGGTTTTGGGTATTAGCTAATCCCGGGATAACTTTTACAATAAAATGGTGAGATTAGTTAATAGTTATCCCACTTAGAAGGTGGGATAACTAATCCCATGAGATATCCCGCCATTGTACCAAACGACCCCATCAGACAAAGTTACTTTTGCCGATTGGAGGTAATAGGTGACATAATCGAGGTGCGTCCAACTTGGCTGAGACACCACTTTTATCGGGAAAAAGAAAAAGGAGGAAAAGAAAAAAGGGAAGGAAAAGTTGAATGGTAAATTAAGTTCTTTATTTGGTTTGACTGAACAAAGGGTCCGGGAGGGGCTACACCCCAAGGGGGTGTGATGTACACATCCCCTAGTATGATCGTTGAAGTATGGTAATCTTGTGTAGTCACTCATCGCTGCAAATCTCCTTGTATATATATATATATATATATATATTTTTTTTTTTTGAGGTATAAACAAGACGAAGGAATTATTTTCCCTTTGTTCACTTTCTTCCTTACACTATTTTGAGATGGGAAGATATTGTGATTAAAACATCTATTGTATTTTGTAATGGTGAAGCATTTTGGCAAGTTAGGATCTCCTTCCTTTTTTTTTTAGGTTTAATTAATTTATATACAAAGGATCTTCTTTTAGTAAAAATTAGGTTAGTAGTGGTTTGCAGATGATGATTTTTCTACATTAATATCCTATCCTGTTAGTTTTTCTATAATAACGGTGGTGTCCGGACTTAGGAGCATATCAACTATTCTACCAGGTAATGTGCCTGCTACCGATCTACTATGGCTTAGGCTTAGACAAATGGGAAAAAATCACCAATGTTTTTGTCCCTGCTGGAATCTGAACCTTGATATCGAACACTCACTTCATCGACCACTAAGCCACATCCTTGGGTTTCAACCCCCGTTAGTTTAAATTCAAGTTCGCACATTATTATGAGAAATAATGACAAGTTGACAACATATCCATGTCGTGTAAAGTAGGACAAGTTTGTACAACCTCTGAAAATTATGACTTGATTTTAGTGGATAATTAACACAAAACTCCCTTTGTTCCAATAATGAGTTTCATGGGTAGCACTATAGGCCATTTTCATGTATGCATTTGGGATAGTGGAATAACCATTTAACAAAAACTAAATGGACGAAGTTTCCTAAAGAAATGAAGTAACAGGGCTTTTATTTATTTGCTGCTGAGTTTCAGAATTTTGAAGATTATACAAATGGTTTAGACCAACTTCTTGAAAGCAGTAGCATTTCCACACACATTTTCAATGTTAATTTAAAGTTAGATTAAGTCACAACGCTACTTAAGGAAATATATGTTGCAGTTTGTGTTATTTGTAGCAGGTTGTTTAATGTGAGAACAGATTATGTGTTTGGACAGGGTCCCGGGAGCCTCGGATGTGTTTCGGATGACTTTGTGTGCAGTAGATTGACATTGGGCTCTCAGCATATCTCTCCCATGTGTCCTTGTTTCACCTTAAAGTTTAAATAAGTTAATTTACCTGTTCAAATCTGCAGGTTTTTGCCTGAGGTGTTTTGAATCTTTTTCTTCTTAACTTGGTTCGCTGCATATAGAAATGGCGAAAGAAAAAAGTGCATGCTTAGGTAATGAAGTTTCCCAGCCAAAGAAAAATTTGACAAAGAAAATGCAAGAGTTGAACAATGAGCTGATTCTTGACAAAATATTTGTTCCTATTCCTGGATTATCCTCTAATTTTATATTAGGTCCATGCTTTAAGACTACGTTTCCTCCGGAGCTCTCTCCTCTTTACCCCTTAGCTAAAGGAGAGAAGCTACTTCTACACTCCGTGGAACCTGATTGGTTCAAAGATAAGACTCTGCGGTCATGGCCTTCTGCAAATAGAAAATGGATTGATTGGGTAGATAGAGTTGAGAAGGCCAAAGGAGAGGTCTGGAAATCAGCGGGAATATATGATGCCATTCAGTTGTCCAAGAATGGTATCCCCATGGACAATGATCTTCTTTATGCTGCCTTGTGCTATTGGTCAATCTCCACAAACTCATTCCACTTCAGATTTGGTATGATGGGGCCAACAGTACTCGATATTGTTGCCTTGACAGGACTTAGGCCACATGGCGAGGAAGTCAGCGCCATTCTTGGGATGGCTGAATCGGCTTGTGATTTTCCCAAGTATGGAAAAATTTATAATAATTCCTTATTTTACTCCAGATATCTCAATGTGTCAAAGGGAGAAATGGCTGTGACGGAGGAAGAGCATGTATCTTTTCTGTTTGCGTGGCTCAGCAATCATCTGTTTTGTGACTCTTCTGTAAACATGATCAAGCAATGCACAAAACTGGCATTTGCTCTTGCTGCGGGTAGAAAGACTGCTTTGGCACCCTTTCTCTTGTCTAATTTATATCATGGATGCGCTGACATAATTAATGCAAAGTTTCAGTATGAAAGAGGTCCATTCTGGATCTTGCAGTTCTGGCTACAGTCTTACTTTCCAGAATTTCGACCTGTGACCTTGGATTACAGTAATGCTCCAACCTATGGATTTCCCTTGGCTGAAGGTGCATTGAGATATAAATCATTCAAGGAATACTTTAACTTCTTTCGTAAATGCTCATCTAGAACAGCCAGCCAATTCACCCCATTTTCTTCTCGGAAGTTTGGACCTGAGTGGTTTAAGAAGTCACTTGATCCTTACTTTCAAAAACTTAATAGGGCAGAGCTACAAGACATTTGGGCCAGTTATCTCATTGCTCGAGACCTCCCTTACAGTATCCTTCTCGATGAATCTTCGAAGTGCAAATGTTGGGTAGAACCTTATTATCCGAATCAGTTTGCTCGACAGTTTGGCATGAATCAGGCTGTTCCCCTCCATCAGTCATCCAGCGATCTTTCAATCAGAAGAAAGGCAGATAACATCAAAGAAACTGAATCACGGTTTTGCCAATTAAAAAGGAAGTTTTCATTTGTTCCGTTTGATACTAATCCAAGCTCTACTGAGTTGTTTGATTCCTGGTGGTCCACTTATATCTACAATCGCGACAAGACTGCTATCAATGTCCTCAGGAAGATCTCACCGTGTGTTAGACCTCTCGGTCCATCTGACAGACAAGAAGTTGTTGCTCCCAAGTCCAATGGTATCAAAGGCAATTCTCAGTCTGTAAGAAATTTTGGCCAGAATATGAAGAGAAAATATAAAGGTATGATAACCTTCTTGATTAGCAGATGCATTTGATTTGCCGTAAAAGGAAAATGTTGGTCAATGAAGCCAAGTAGATAAGTAATCATTATATTCTCGCTTGCCAATGTGATGGCTCGTTGAATCCTTAATAGGATAACCCAAGGATCTCAATAAGGTTTGCATAATATTAGACTATTAGTTGATCTTTAGGGTTGAGGATTTGTGCTTATACCATTATATTAGATTTTCGGATAGCTTTCAGTGCTCTCTGCTTGTCTTTTTCTTTGTTTGGTTTCTATTTCTGTATTATATCTTGTATTACCTTCTTATTCATGCCTTAATTGCTTTCAGGGGATAGTATTCCATCACAATCTCTGGTACAGCAAGACGAGCCCATACAACAAAAGAACTCGCATGAGGCAGGTGAAAAGATACCTATGGGAACAACATCATCCAAGGTAAATATTCCCACCCCCAAACGAGCCTCTGGGATTATAATTCAATTCATTGACCTGATTCCTTCACTTCACCGATGATTGACCTTTTCAGAAGATGAAGACTTCCCCGAGGAAAATGCTATTACCTTGTACATCAGTCTTCCGTACAAGTTGTACTCCTGCTAATGAAGACAGGACTAAGACAGACATCGAAGTTTCTGCTGAAGCTAGATCGATCTCCACCTCGTCCTCCACTTCTGACAAAGTAAGTTCTCCTTATTACATGTGTCATTATGTCTTGCGGACTCCATCTAAGTTTGGGAGCTTTTTCTTTTCAGGATGGTGAGGACGACACAGTTTCCTCACCATTAGTTAATACCAGAAGCAAGACATCTGACATTATTGTACCACCTGATTGCCCTGTAAAATTTGATAATCTAGAAGACTTCTTTGCTCGAGTTAGTGGACAAATTAAACGAGCTCAATCTCTCGGTTTTTCTGCTGATCAGTGTTCTCCAAATTTTACACCGTCAGCAGAAATGCTTGCCACAGCGAAAGATAACACTGAGAGATTACTAATCATGCCGTCTCAGGACTTGCTTCTACCCAAAAACTGTTCGACATTAAGTGCAGCACTATCAATGTATGCTGCAACACCTGATTTATCGTCTGAGAGAGCGCTTGCCTTGAAGAAACTCAAAGAGAACCTTCCGCACCTTTCCTTGACCTTGCGTAGAGCTAAGAAGGACCAAGAGGAGTATTATAAGGAGGCTGCCAAGAAAGTACTCCTCGTCGATGAGCTCACAAAAGATCAGGAACTCTATACTAACCTCAAAGACTCCAACGACAAGCTTGAATGTACAATCAGCAAGTTGAAGGCAAGTTTGAAGGATGCAAAGACAAAAAGAAAAGCAATCCAGGAGCAAAAATTGAGTTTGGCTAACAAGTGTTTTGAAAAGTCGACTGCTCTTGACCAAATGGAAGCTGACTTTCCTGTCCTGGAGGAGATGAAGAAGCTAGCTGATTCGGATGTTGCCCGAGTGGAAGAAAGCTTGAGAGACTTCAAGAGTAAGATAATCGAGTGATCGCTTCCATAAACCGTCTGTCATGTGAATTTGCTGGCTAGTGATCCATAGTTTAAGATCATGTAAATAGTTTTTTGCTATGTACAAACTCTCTTTTGAATGGCATCCCTAAGTATAGCCAAGTTATGGTTTTTGTTGGCACAGGTTGATGGATCATGGATTCAGTTGTTTTTGGGCTGAAGCATTCTCTCTATTAATTTTTTTCCTTACTTTTTTGTTTTGGTAAAGCTGATGTCTGGGCCCAATTTACATGCACCTCAACTACGTTATCAGGTACATTTTACTTCTTACTAACACAAATATTGGATAACTTTACTTACTAAGGTTAACCCTTCGGGGTTGCCCAGTTGGTTTGGAGGGTGGTTATCCATACGGATAACCTGGGATCGATTCTCCCCTCAATGCCTTCCGGGTTGAGCCTGTCGCACAGGGCTTGCCTAGTGCGGTTTACATCCTCTGTGTGGTTTGCACGCTATTACACAGAGGGAGGTTTACCCAGTGCTCACCATAGAGTGCTCGCCCGAAGGGCAGAGAATGTAGCGGCTGCGGGTTTCCCTCTTGCCAAAAAAAAAAAAAAAGG